AGGAGGAAGAGGAGGAGGAGGAGGGGGGAGGAAGAGGAGGAGGAGGAGGAGGAGGAGGAGGGGGAGGAAGATTTCCCCCCGCCGCAAAGACACAACCAGTCCGCCTCATGAAAACACGGGGCAGCAAACCTTGACGGGAGTCCCACGTTTCGCGCAATGACGTCACAGCGTTTACCCGTGGGAAAATTTTTTTTCAACAATCGTTTCGCTGCATATATCGATTTCGAATCAACACTAATACAACTGATTTAGCACGTTGCGAGTTTACTCCTGCTCTCCACCAACGGGAAGGTGGGAACAGGACTTTGAACAGGATAGGACTTTGTAACGACATGACAGTGAAGACAAAAATGTCATGTGTCAAGTACAAAATCATTTTAAAACTCCAAAGTTGTTAAAATATTAAAAGCTTTAAGGCTCTTGCACTTGAAGTACATACATTTTTCTCGACGTTGAATTTCCCTGTATTGTATCTCTCGCTTGTTCCGGAGCTCGTCCCCGGCTCGATCGGCCAACGAGCGTCACACACACTCACCACACACACTCACACACACACACACACACTCACACACACACCACACATCACGTGCACACAACAACAGAAGCAACCCAAAACAACAACGAGTCTGTACGTCGGCGATCCTCCCTTGACCTTTCACCTTTTTCAGTACCACATTTACACCTCGGCTTTTTTTTAAACAAGTAAAGAAATCCCCTCATCAAACCAAAAAGATATTAAATATTAATTTACACTTTAGAAGATTTCAAAATACAATGATACAAGTAATCAGAAAAGGCTTAGCCACCTCATGCATGCGTAGCATCGTGGTGAAATCAGGCGCTCGGCAAAATAATGAAAGAGAAGAAATCGACAAGTTCCCAACTAATGGACAATTTTTATCGATTGTTTTTTTTTTCGGAGGGCGGGGGTGGGTGGGTTTGGCTTCTTGAATTCCCACATTAGAACAAATTTATTTTGTGTGAGAAATTCTACTGCAATTCGTTTGATTTTTAAAAAAACTTAAAGTATAAATTTGCAGGTTTCAAGGACACTAAAGTTTTGGAAGTGACCAAACTTTGGGGGCCCTTCATTTTCTCGCTAATTTTACCTCTGACCCCAGACGACTCTCGCCTCTTTCAAGGGAAAATATACCGACTCCTACTCAAGATAGTTGGGTACTGTTTTAAAATCAAAAGTAAAACAAATGAATATAATAAGTATAAGCTTTCAGGTTTATACCAATAACTCTATATATATATATATATGGCCAAAAATCGAAGATCGCCCGATTCCACTGAGATACATGTAAATAAAATACTATTTTAAATAGTCAACTCAAAAAAAAATAAAGACGGCTTTAGCACTTGTGCACTAAACATGTTTGAAGCATTTCTGCATTATAGAGACCAACAGAACTTACACATCGCTGACGCTTATGGCACTTTTCTATCATAGAGACATATAACATATTATATTTATATTCCTTTTAAAAAAAAATGTAAGTTGTGTTTTTAATAAGCCCCCACTGAAACAATTTACATGATAGGGACTAATTGCACTTCTACTTCTTCGTAGAGTCCAATTATAAAGCACTTTTTGATGTAATAGAAGCCAAGAGTACTTCCATATCATTGAGGCATATAATATAACATTCCGACATAACAGAAACTTTAAGCATTCCGACAAAACAGAAACTTTAAGCACTCCGACATAACAGAAAAGCCTCTATATATAGTACTTTAGTACTATATCGTACAGGCCTGTTATAGCACTTCGAAATCACAGAAGCGTTTCAGAAAGCACTCCGACATATAACAGAGGCTTATACCATAGTATACAGTATAGCACTTCCAAATCACAGAGGCATAGCTAAAGCACTTTCACAAGATAAGATCTCTATACATCATAGTATTATAGAGGCCTTTGACGCTTCTACGTCTCAGCGGAATTTAGCGATTAAGAACTCGAGAGGAAAGTCGTTTCTGTCCTTCTATTCGTCATTCGGTTGCCGTGATATACCCAGTCGGTTGATTGTGTTGCCTGGAGGGAGAGGGGGAAGGGGGGAGGAGGG